TGTGTGTGTGTGTGTGTGTGTGTGTGTGTTGTCATATTCGCTATACACTCAAAAAGAGCATGACTGTGCCGAACAGACTATTTCGTCGGACTTTCACCGACTCGTCAGGAGGTTGAACCCCGACAGTCTGTCCAGGATTCATTTTGACTGATGGATAAGGAAGGACTCACCACATCGCCCAAAGTTAGCGATACCCATCCCTGAGAGAGAAAAGTGGTCGACTTTACTCACACCAACCAACCTTGCAATCCTAGCAGACTTGTCAAGGGTCCAAACCCTTGACTTGACAAGAACGGTAGCAAGTCTGAGAAACTAATCTGGCACAGGGGCTCGTTCGACACTCCTTGGGGCGTCCTCGGCGTAAGGAAGTTTCCTTGGGGGGTTTCAAGGAAATTCCCGCCATCGTTCCACCTGTCCTCGGGGACGTCGCCCGAGGACATTTCCTTCGAACAATGTCAGACAAGAAAAAAGAAAAGAAAAGAAAAAATCAAATGTGTTCGAGGCCTTCAGCCAATAGGGTACTACCGTTCTTGTCAAGAAAAGCGTTACGGCTTTACTCACACCAACCAACCTTGCAATCCTATCAGACTTGTCAAGGGTCCAAACCCCTGTCAGTGACAAGAACGGTAGTAAGTCTGAGAAACTAATAAGCTGACACAGTCATAAAACCCACCCACTCTACACACCCACTCAGAGCCATGGACACCCAATGGCACCGTACTGGACTACCGTAGCTCAGTTGGTGCACCCATGAACTGTTGAAATACAGACCCAAGTTCGAATCCAGTGCAATCAGATGAACAGAATCAAATACTAATTCTGAATACCTTACCTTGGCCGCGCAGCTCAGTAGTCATATCACAAGACCGTCGCCCTTTTGAATTGAAAAGAAAAAGGAGGATGCAACGGAAAAAAAGAACAAGAATACTACGGAACCAACTGGTACTATGGAACCAACTGGGCGTGCAGCTCAATAGTGATAAGTCACAAGACCGTCGCCCTTTTGAATTCAAGAGAAAAAGGAAAAGGATGCAGCAGAAAAAAAGAACAACAATACTATGGAACCAAGTGGTACTATGGAACCAACTGGTACTATGGAACCAACTGGTCTAGCTCAGTTGGTGGTACACACCGGAAATGGAAATGGAACTGTTAAAATACAGACCTGAGTTCGAACTCCGCCGGATACAGATGAGTAAAATATTACAATTCTGAATTACCTAGAGGCTACCTTCTTCCCCCGAATACAACGTACGGTGTATTTGAGGCATCTTTCAGTCTAGATACAGCTATAATGACCGTACCGTACGTTGTATTCGGGGGAAGAAGGTAGAGCCCATGAGGTCGAGAATGATATTGATATCTGCCATCGCCATTTTTGAAAGAGAAACAAAGAAAAATATGAACAAGAAGAAGTACTACCGTCTTCCCCCGAGCAGAACGCACCCTCGTTTTGGCTGCATCGGACCGGAAAGATAGGTTATATACAGTCATTTTCAGGGTGCGTTATGTTTCCAGGGAAGACGGTACCAGACAAGGAAGGGGTAGGAAGAGGGACATTTGGACAAGTAGACGATTTGCGCATAGCATCACTCGGAACAACTGGGGCACAGGGACAGAAGTAGTAGTACTGGGGCGAGGTCCCACTAGCAAAGAGGATTGGATAAGTATCCGGAATCTGGACGTGTTTTAAGCAGAGAGATGCAGAAAAGCAGTTCAATCGCGACATTCTGCACCTTTCCACAAACAAGTCCAGATTCAGGCGTTCAATCCAATCCTCTTTTGCTAGTGGGACCTCGCCCCTGGTCATGTAGACAACCTGAGCAATTCCGGATTTTTTTCAGATGTGGCTACATTTCGCACTGCTACCGATACACTGCTGGTTTAAAAAATAAAAAAAAAATAAAAAACAGGCGAGAGGGAGTGAACCATAAAACCAGGCCTACCATCTTTCACGCGAATAGAATGCCCCGTCATTATCGCTGTACCGGGACTGAAAGGTGGCCCAAATGCAGGTACAATAACCGGGCGTTCTATTCGGGTGAAGCCGGCCGGTAGCAGATGAGGATCTCGGGTGGGCTAGCTAGACTACGGGCGCGTGCAGCATGCAGTCGTCAAGTAGACAGATCAGGGGCCAGGTCCCACTACCAGTGTAGCAAAGAGGATTGCTATGAGAGAAAGAAATGGGTGAGAGGGAGCTGCTATGACAGGTCAAGCTTGACGGGCCGGCCGCAGGACGCGGTTTCCCGCAGGTGAAGCTCCCCAACCATCGGAAACCACAAAGGCGTCAACTTGGTTAAGGGTGTGAATTTATCATTCCCAAGATGTAGACCCGGTGCACGCTGATTGCTGATGTGTTACCCTAAACCCTAAACCAAAAAAGAGATGCACCCAGTACAATGCCAAACCCACGAGATGGAGTTTGGGAGGACAGATTTACAGGCAACCCAGATCCAATTGGTGAGCACGAAAGGAGGGAGATCGTTGTGAGTGAGGGGGGGCCGGAGGGAGGGGGGGAGAGAGAGAGAGAGAGAGAGAGAGAGAGAGAGAGAGAGGGAAAAAGAGAGGGAAAAAGAGAGGGAAAAAGAGAGGGAGAAAGAGAGGGAGAGGGAAAAAGAGAGGGAGAGGGAGAGGGGGAGGTAGAGAGGGAGAGAGGGAGAGGGAGAGGGGGAGAAAGAGGGAGAGGGGGAGAAAGAGAAAGAGAGAGAGAGAGAGAGAAGAGCGTAGAAAAGACGAGAGAGAGGAGGACAAACATGAGAACGAAGCGAGAAAAGGGACGACAGGCAAACGATGAACATTAAGGAAAGAAGACCAGACCCAAAGAGTTATTAAAAAAAAAAGGGGGGGGCAGGAAGGACGGCTAAAAGGAAGTGACAAAAAAAGAAAAAAAAAGAAAAGCGAAGGGAAGAAAAGGCAGGAGAGGAGAGGAGTGGAGAGGGGAGGAGAAGAGGATCGGCGAAGGGGAGAAGAGAGGAAAGACCACCACCGGGGGGTTTAGGGTAAAACCCAGTTTGTAGCGTCCTCATTTATTTTATTTTATTTTATTTTATTATTTTGCTTACTGTATTATCCAGTGAATTTTCCCCGACATCGAAATGCAATTGGTCTTCTATCCCCCTTAACCTGTAGTATCTTGATCCTCCTCAGCCCTCAAGGGGGTAGAGTAAAACCCTCTTCGTTGTTTCTAGCCTCTTTTTCTGCGTGACAAAGTGGTCGTAGAGTGTGACAGGCCTCAACAATTTTGTTTTTTTGTCAGAGCGATCCACGGATGAGCTCCTTTTTTTTACCTCAAAAAGTTTAAGTCGGTTTTTTTTTTTTTTTTTTTTTTTTTTCCAGGTTGTTGTAGAGGTGGGATAGTAGACCAATGACAGTTACCCACAGCACTCGGTCATTCGGCTGTCCAGCTGAATTCCTCTGAAGACCCCACCCACCCTTCCTCTTATCATTTTTTGCCCTGGCGCACCCCCACCCCCCCCTGTCCTACCCTACCGTCTTCACCCAAATACAACGTACGGTCATTATAACTGTATTTGCGCTATCTTTCCGTCTAAATGCAGCAATAATGACCGTACGTTGTATTCGGGTGAAGACAGTAGTGTTAACCACCCGGGACCATCAACCATTGCCATATTGGCAGGGTGACCTGACCAGACAACGGTCTCCATTGGCAGCGGTTTCTCACCGGGGGCTTTTCGCTTTCCCTAATTTTGATTTATCTTGCACATTGGCTTTTTGTCTGCTTTTTTATCTTGTGAGTTTGCTCATTTAATTTGTTTCCGTTCTTTATTTTCTCATTTTTCGGGTTCATACCTCTTCAAATCGATTAAGGCGCTTCCTTTTTTCCATCGGCGGCGGTTTCCCACCTGGGGGCTCTTCGGCTTTCCCTGCGTTTGATTCTTCTTCCACGTTGGTGTTTTGTTTGTTTACTGTATCTTGTGAGTTTGCTCAAGGGCGACAGCCTTGAGATATAATCGTAATGGCCCATTTATTTCTTTCCTTTTATACGGTTTTTTTTTTTTTTTTTTTTTTTTGGGGGGGGGGGNTTTTTGGGGGGGGGGGAGGTGTACCAACAGAAATTCGTATTGACCAGGGCAAAACGAGGCCCGGAACCCCTCACAATTCGACCCGGAGTTATCCTGTCATTTGTTTTATACGGTTCTCGACAATCAACAGTGAGGTGACACACATTAATCAAGAAATGGTCCCCCAATAAAATAAAATAAAATAATTTTTTTTTTTTAAATTCAGCAGAATGGGGCAGGGCGGGGGAAAAGAACCGGTTCGTGTCGGGTGCAATACTATTACTATTAATCGAGAAACGTTACCGAACACGAGAAGGAAAAACCGGACAGGAAAAAAAAAAAAAAAAAAAAAAAAAAAAACAACAGGAGAGGAGAGAAAGGTGAGAGAGGGAGAGAACAGGATAAAAGGGACATACCCGGAGGCCGAGGAGCCTTTGAAAAAGACGAAATGTGACAGCAAAACAGAGCAAAAAGATAAGAGCTAGAGAAGCCTCGAGATCGCTGAACAGTACCAGAATTAAGCAGGCAGAGCGATGACTTGACAAATCGCTTTTTATATTGCATGCGTCTTTTAGTAATTCATATTTAGATAGATACGAGCAATCTACGTTTTTGATCTCTAATGACTTGATTTTTTCGACATATGGCTAAACTTTTTTCTGTAAAATGCCGCGCATAAGATTAAAATGGAGGATACGCTCAGGAAGATCAGATCCGATCGGATCAGTACTTGCACAACCTCAGATCCCTCCGCATAACAGCACAAGGATTCGAAACCGCACCCATTTGGCCTCAAGAGACAGACAAGCAGCGTAACCACTGCACGCATGACACGTGTTCAGAAGTGGAACCATACGATGATGGTGATGGTGAAGTGGAACCGTACGATGATGGCGATGGCGATGGTGCTGACGATAACAGTGAAAGCGGGGCCGACGCAAATCACGAAGAGACGATCGATGATGGAGATGAGAGAGGTGGCAGAACGGTAACGCAAAAAAAAAAGCCTAATGTCGGTGATGAACGAGGAAGAAGCTACCAGGTATGATCGTTGGTGATGGATGAATGAGGGAGAAGCTAGCTAGCTATGTCTTCGACGACCAGACCGTTAGTGATGAATGAAGAAGAAGTTAGCTACGATCGAATGAAAACCACGTCATCAGGCAGGCCCATCATCAATTGATTGTGGCGATGAGAATCAAATGACGAAGAGGAGGAGAGATCAAGATCAAGATAAAAATGGCTGTTGTCAGTGACAGGGCCGATGACACGTGGAGGGATTGAGGAAGGAGGGGGGGGTGGGGGGGCCGGGGGGGGGGGGGGGGGGGGGGGGGGGATCAGAATGATCCCCAGCATAGAAATAGTAATCTAGGTTACCTCCAAAAAAAATAATGATAATAATAATCTAGGTTACCTGATCTGACGTCCGGGACTCCCCTGACCGTCCGGGGGGTGTCCGGTCGGACATCCTCCCCGGGCAGTGTGTCCGAGGCCGAACGCAAAAAAAAAGAAAAAGAAAAAAAAAACTCAAAAAAATCCGAAAAAAAAACTATGTCATGCAGAAAAATAAACTGAACAACTTTTGCCTTGGGATGACATCGAGATTCGTTATCAATTATAAAACAAAATATAAAAAATAAAAATAAAAACACCCACAATTTTTTCCCCTCTTTTTTCGTGCTTTTAACTGCCAAGAAAAAGGAATTGTCCGGGCCCGGACGTCCGGGATCCCCCGTGACTGCCCGGCCAGGACGTCCTGCCATCGGACAGCTGGTAACATAGGAAATAATGTAGATTGCAGAATGCCTGAAGTGGACGACAACAGGCATTCGGGGAGCGAAGATGGTGTTAACTAGAAATAGGGCACGACTCACATGAGGCAATTGATAATACTATATATAAATATGATTCATTTCCTGTTTTGGTTGGCATCACGGGAAGAGGGGCAAACAAGGCAGGGAAGGTGGAATTACTACCTTTTGTCCGATTGCCGGCGGCTACTTTACAATGTGATTGAGAGAAGTGTGTTCTTTTGGAGGAGGGGGGGGGACGACATGGATAAGAGACTCGTGTGCGAATGCATGAAGGCGGCAGATCAAGAGCTGCGCACGGCATGTAGAAGAGAGGATAAGACGGGTGAGAGATAGAGATAGACACAGACAGAGAGAGAGAGAGAGGGTAGGGAAGGGAAAGAGAGCAAGAGAGCGGCGTCCCGAAATTCCCAACTTACGACAGCGAAAAAAAAAAAAAAAAAAAAAAAAAAAGAGTAACCGATAAGCTGGGCAGAATTCGAAATCAAACACGGTACAGATTCGGCAACAAGGATGTCAGTCAGGTTAGACTCGCCAGCGTCGGTCTCAGACGATCGTGAAAGGACATCAAGATTATTACTACTATTATTATTATTATTATTATTATTATTATTATTATTATTATTTAGTCTTATTCTTATCATTATTATTATTATTATTGTTATTTACTATTATTTAGTAGTAGTAGTAGTAGTATTTTAATATTTATTATTATTATTATTATTATTTATATTATTTTATTATTATTATTATTATTATTATTATTATAATATTGGTTGACCATGATCAAAATCGGAAAATCCCAAAATGAGCGGCCAGATCTAGTCCTTCCCTTACAAGGACTCGGTCTGGCCGCTCATTTTGTGATTTTGCAAGTTTGAGGGGGGTAGTGTGAGTATGTTCTCACACTACCTTCTTCCCCCGAATACAACGTACGGTCATTATAGCTGTATTGAGACTGAAAGATACCCTAGATACAGCTATAATGACCGTACGTTGTATTCGGGCGAAGAAGGTAGGCCCTCAAAATCGCAAGATCGCAAAATCAGCGGCCAGATTGAGTTCTTCTAAGAGGAGGACTAGTAGACCACGCCGCTCATTTTGCGATTCTGCCACTTTGAGGACCTTGTAGTGTCAATATTATACTCTTATTACTATCAAGTTTTTACTCGCTGTTATCATTATATCTGATCTTATTACTATTGCAATTTTATTACTCGCTAATATCATTATATCTGATCTTATTATTACTGCAATTTTATTACTAATTCGCGATAGGAAATCCCGCATTCCTTCCCCGCGCCCCCATCCCCCCCTTCCCCTTCCCTCCCCTCCTCCTCTCCCTGGCAACCCCCCGACGTCCGCTCGGCGCGGTACCCATTGCAAACCTTGGCCATTGCAAGCTCGCCACGTGTATTCTGAGAACCACGTTCTGGGAATCGCAAATGGAATTTGCGTTGATCGGGGAAAATGCCATTTCTTGTTTTTTTTTGTAAGCACTTGGACCTGATTGCTGACCTGATTCAGCCGGATATTTGTCACTTGATAGAACCGACGAGGAGGCCAGTCTGATCTGTGAACTTCCGCCCCAATACCGAAGTTAGGAAGATATCGAATTACTTCGAAGAGGTTCTTCTTCTTCGTCCGCCCACTCGCCGTCGTCGCGCTGTCTTCCTCCTTCACGGCGGCTTCTTCCTCCTTCATGCCTGTGGAGCATATCCATCTTTCACCTGCGATTGATTCTGCTGCTACTACTTCCCCGGTCCCTCGCCCTTCTCCCCTAACTAAGTAACAAGGACAGCCGTTCGTTTTGGCCAATCGCCATCTCGAGGTGATGCCACGTCGCAGGCACCCGCTGGCCATTCTAGCCTTATCACTGGCTCGCCCCCACGTTGGCGCGTCTCTCCCTTCTTCCTTTTCTGAGATTCCCTTCTTTCCTCTTTTCTCTCTCTTTTTTCAATTCAATTCAATTCAATTCAAAAAGGGCGACGGCCTTGAGATATCATCATCATCGAATGGACCGGCCCTTGTTAATTCAGGGGGCATACTCACACTCCGACCTTTCGTACTATCCGGGGGCAAGGTCCCACTTGCGCAAATTAGGAGATTTCGGCCGTTGATCTTTGCTATCTTCCTGCAAGTGGAACCTAGCCCCGGGTCTTGCCCTAATTACTCTCACGGTCATTGAGGAAAGGCCTACCGTAGTACGTGAGTATGCCCTCAGAATTGTTGTGACGTTTTTTTTTTTTTTTTTTTTTTTTTTTTTTTCAAAGGGTGACGGCCTTGAGATATTATCATTGAGCTGACCGGCCCCAAGCGATTCGTTAGTAGTTGGTTTTACTCGTCAAGTTCCATCATCTGGATTCGAACACAGGTCTGTAATTCAACAGTTCATGGGTGTACCCACTGAGCTAGGCTCATCTGCGTCCAGTGGAGTTTTTTTAAACTCGGCCGTCTGCATTTCAATTTCAAGAGTTCAGGGGTGTACCAACTGAGGGCATACTCACACGACTACGTTTTTGCGTATTTTGGACGGAACTGTGGCAAGATACATCCAGGTAGGGCGTGAATGGGGTCAGATACATTTGAGTTACTGCTAGTGCAGTGTGAGTACCAACTGAGCTACCGTAGGCCAGTCGGTTTTCTGAGCTAGTGTAGTGTGAGTACCAACTGAGCTCCCAACCCCCCTACAGTAGCATTCGCGCTCAGCAGTGGAAGTCTCCACACATCATCCAGGTTTGACGAGTCATCTGTATTCGTAGAAACAGAAGAGTGTACGACCTACAGAACAGATCCTGTTCAGGTACAGTCATTTTTCTGAGATTCTCGTCTGAAAGTCACTACCTGAATTCAGCGATTGCCCGGTGCCAGCGCCACATGCCGCTTCACGTCCGTGGACCATACGGTTTCTTCCATAGCTTGCTACTTCGCGATATTGGGCCTCGCTGCACTAGTCTTGAAATGTGCAGAACGAGAGTGAATTCCGCTGGAATATGGAAAGATACACGGCCATGATTTTTGTTTTTTGTGCATGTCGAGAGTAGTGCAGCGAGGCCCATTGATTTGGTTGGTTATACCTCTCGCCACACCGGAGGGGAACCCCTTAGCAGCAGACAACCCACACCTCGCGCTGATAGGCGTAGCGGGCAGGCCCAAACCGGCCTAAAGGGGTGTGCAAAGGATTTTGAGTTTTAGAAAGGGGGACGGGGACGGGGACGGGGACGGAGTTCCATGTCCGACCTGGAATCTCCGCTGTCTGTCCTTTGGGCCCCCAAATCCTATGAGAGGGTGCGGGGCTGGTGACATTGACATACCGCGAGGTCGCGGGCCCGCAGCCCGTAGCGGGCAGAAGAATCTGGCAGGACCTTGGTTGATGTTGTTGGTTGCTATGCAGCCACAATATCGGCCATTAGACACCGCCATGTGGGGTTTGGGGGGGGGAGGGGGGAGGTGCAGTGACTGGCCATTGCTCGGCGCTAGCACCGCCAATTTCCCCCATCGGCAATGCCTGCCCACCCCTTGTCACCGTGATGAGGGACTGGTACAGCCTTGCTCTCACACCACCGCTGTGGTGCCAACCTACCCCGTGGGCTGGGAAGAGATCCGGGTTGGTTGGTGTTCCCCCGTACTACACATAAACGACGAGGTATAGCGCAGCCTACGGGCTGCGAACTAGTGAGAGGATGAGATAGATGAGTACTAGCAAGAAAATGAGATAGATGAGAGAAGAATATAGCTTTTTAAAAAAAAAAACGACACGAGTGCATCCCCCCAACGAAGTGGCCAGGTTCACCGGTTTGCTATAAATAGTAACGAGTGTATTTGCCGCCTTTGGTGGGAAGATGCACTCGTTCCATTTTCGTTTCTTGCGCCGTGTGGCGAGGCCCAGAGAAAAAAAAATAAAAACAAAAAAAATACCGGCAAACGAAAAGGGGGCAACGTACACCTACGACATACACCTGCAACGTACACATACAAATATCAGATTTTGCGCGCCTGAATCTGGATGTCATCTGCTCATAGATAAATAGACACAATCAGGCCAAAAATAAAAATAGGAAGAAAAAAAAAAAAAAAAAAAGGGCACTTGTCCTCTGGATACCCCTGATCGGTATTAGCAGGGTCGATGACCAACACGGGTGTGAGTGTGAGCGCGAGTGGGTTGTGTGTGGTGTGTGGGAGAGTGTTGGTCATAGCCTCTGCTGCTACTGGATGAAGGGTGGGGGACGAAAGGGAGGCACAACTATTGGCAGGTCTCGGTCTTTTTGTTAGCCAGATCCCCACTGGCGGCCCCAACCCTATACCCTAACCATTAGGGGCAAGGGGCAACATGAAATCTCCCCTTCACAGAGAGAGGAAACTATGCTTGCAGGGGTCCCCTCTAGATAGTCTTAGGAGTAGGTAGTGGAAGGTAAAGAAACAAAAGTTGAGAGAAGAATACAGAAAAAAAAAAAAAAAAAACGTTTCTGTTTTCTCCCCCCCAACCCGTTTTCTGCCACACCGCATACACCTACAACGTACACCTACAATGTATCAGATCCCACGCGCTTGAACTTGGATGTCATCTGCCCACATATAAATATACAATGAGGTTAGCAACCCTATTGAATCCTCTTCGGGCGTCAAGGTTCGGCCCACGAGACGATTTTACAAAATTTGTACAGAATCATTGCAGAATCGCCCCATACACATTATACACATAGAGGTGCGCTGCACTACTCTCGAACTGTGCAAAACGAGAGTGAATCTTCCAATGACACATGGAAAGATGCACGATCATGATTTTTGTCTTTTATGAATGTCGAGAGTAGTTCGCCGTTTTATTCACGGTTACAATTACAGTTACAGTTACACAAAGAAAGAAAAAAAGAAAAGAAATTGGGCCAACCACATACACCAAAAAACAACACCATTTGACCACTGCCCCCGGAAACCCCTATTACTCTACAGACCGGTCGGGGCATTGGAACAAAACAAAAACAGACCACGCCCTCGTTTTTTTTAGGGCGACCACATCCCGACCTGGTTTTGAGGCCTCCTCCACTTCCTCCACCCTCCCAGCTACCCTCCTGCCGCCTCCTGCCCTGCCCAGCAGTCGACCGGTCCCTGCACAATGACCATTTGTTCCTATGTTCAAATGACGAGGTATAGCGCAGCCTACGGGCTGCGAACTTTAGCGCTCCAACCCTGTGCTATCGGCACAGCGCTGGTTCAGTCGACCAGGTTCCTCCACCGCCACGATGGAAACCTGGGGCCAGGTCCCACTGGTGTGTGTTGTTCATTCTCGACTGCCGATTGTGGCGGGAATACACAGATCCATGGCCCAAAATCAAGAACACCATCTAGTGGGACCTGGCCCCTGGCTAGGGGTTTCATGTCCTACATGGTAATTTATGAGTAACTGTCGGCAGTTGTGGGGGATATCTTAACCAGCGGTCGACCTACCTTCTTCCCCCGAACATAAAGCACATGCGTTGTAAACGAATACAACACATACCGTTTAATCCGCATAGGCATTGTATTGGAGGGTAGTGCAGCAACTTTTTGAACAGCAGGAAGTCGGTCCAGACTTAGTAGACTCAGTTTTGGTTCGTGGCCAAGGGCATTACACAGACAAAAAATGTGTTGTTGTATCTTTTCATGTTTTTTTGTTGAAGAGTCATCCCTCTTTTGTCATTTGAGGCCTCCTTCCAATCCTCTCACCAAATGTGCAAAATGATAATGAATCTTCCGCTAGAACATGGAAAAATACAACGGCCTTGCATAGTCAGGCACGTCCCTTCAGGGCATATGTTAGGAGTGAAACAACGTAGGGAAGGTTTGCAGGGCTTCTAGGAAGAGGGGTAGACCTACACCGTCCGAACCTGACCGACAAAAGAGGATAAATTCAGGCAGGAAAGACGCGAGTAGGTCGAAGTGGTGCTCTTGCAATTGTCGAAGGGTCAACCTGTATGGCTATAAAAAAACAAGGTTAGCAAAAGAGGAGGTGTTTGTTTTTTTTTGTAGAAAGCTCCAGACTCGTTTTCGGTCAGGATGGGAGCCGCAAGTCAAAGCAAGGAGCACTGATGATGGAGGTGTGTGCCAATGAAGATAAAGGCGAAAAAAAATTGTGAGGAGGAAATGAAAAGGAATAGGAAAGAAGGGGAGACTTATCAGGAGCTGCGTGCGGAAGAGGAGTTAAACTCAAAGTGACAATGAACCTTCCGATGTTTTAGCAAAAGGTTCATTCTCATATCGTGCATTCGGTGGGCTGTGCGGTGATCCCGGTAGTGCTTGTCGACGGGGTTGTCGTCTCGATCACAGTACACTCATTTGTCGAGATCGCTTTGCTGACCCGATTGTGTTTATGGTCTCCCTTCCGCATGTCATCATCATTCTCCTCACTCATCGGTCTCTGTAGTACACGTTGTGTCCTTCATGCTCGTTGCGGCTGTCGTCCGGAACCTGGCAGCGATAGTCATATTGGTCAACATTCTACAACTAATCCTCTTCATCTAAGTGCTTACCAGGGGAACATCTCCACCAAGTTAACGCGCCTAGCCGCTTTCTAAGCGGAAGGATCAATTCTTCATAGGCAAGTAGCAGGCGACATCAAGAGACACAGTAGCGCAGGTGTCTGCACGTATAAGAGAGGAGGTGTCAAGGAGATAAGGGTGACACATTAGTGAGTGGGCGCGCACTAAGTAAAGGATGAGAGCAAGCACGACGGAGGAGAGAAAGAAAGGGAAGTGCTTACCTGAACAGCGTGGTCGCGGCATACGGCTGTGAACGAATCTCCCCACGTTCTAAAAAAAAATTCATTTCATATTTTATATAGGCAAGGAGTAGTGGTTGAATCCTTGGCGATCGTGATTATCACGGAGGATTCACTTGGCCAAAATTCGAGAAAGAGATTTTTTTTCATTTTGCACACTTGGTGAATAGTGAAGCGAGGTCCAACAACAGCGTACGCCCAACCGCCATCTTGATCGTTCCCTTCATCTCGGTCAAGTCCGGTGTGGTGGTCGTCTTCATCGTCCACGTGTCCATCCTACTCGCCTCATTATCGTAATCAAGA